CTTAGTGCTTGCTGGCTCAACTCTCCCAGTGGTTTGAGCTACCCATGGTTTCACCTTTTTGATTCCCAGCATGGACCGCAGCCGCACTCCTCCACCTCGCATGGGTTTCCATACCCAACCACGTTTGCCTGTTACACAACCTTTTCCACCTGTACCTCCTCCCCCACCGGGGAGCCCTCCACCTTCTCCCCTCACACCTCATCATCTTCCTCTGCAGCGGGGGCACTGGCCTACGGCACCGGCTCACAATACTGTTATGCCATTGCATCCCACATTGGGGTCCATGCCAGGACTCACAAAAACCATCTTCCCGTGCAACGTCCTTGCACCGGGCCCGATAGCAACCGGAGGTCAGGCCCAGGCGAATGCAGCCACGTCTATTCACAGGCCATACTCCAAATCGTCCACCCACCGCACACCCACCTGCTACACAAAACGACCCCAACCTTGCTGCTCCACAGCCTCCCGCAATCCCCGTAACGTTGCCCGTGCCAGAGGATTGGCTGCAGGACAACGACTATCTCGACACCCGTCGCAGCATAGGGAACCTGTGCTGTCCCCGTCATGTTGTGTCCTCCTCTTGGGCGCGAGAAAAGGGAATCGCCGGCATTCCTGCAACTGGCCTACATCCCGCTCATTTCCTATACCAGGGCTGGAACAGCTACTGGCTTAGATGGATTGCCAGTGGGAAGGAGACTTACTTCGTTGTGGCTCGAACAAAAGCCGAGATGATCCTCGCCGGCGAATTACTCTCACAGATCCGTGCTCAAGGTCTGGATATTGATGCTGCCGCTACCAACCATGCGGTACAAACACAGAGTTCCCAAGCCAACCTGGCTGTAAAAGCTTTGGCCCAGTTCCTTGTTGATCATGTCAAACACAAGATTCCCACAGAAACAGACTGTGAATTCCAGGCCAGAATTCGAGAACTCGAAGGTCAGGTAGGAAATTTGCAACAACAGTTGCAAAAACAGCAGCAGTCCCAGAACCCGCCCATTAGGGGTGGTGTTGGTCCACCCGTGCAACCAACGCTGATCGTTCTCCACTTGGTTCACCGGCAGACCAAGAACCATACAGTTCTGCAGCCAAAGCCCCACAGGCTCCTCCCCCTGCAGGTCAAAACCTGCGACAACTGCCTTTGCAATTCAGCCCTGGCTCCAACACTGACACACCTAATAAGCCCAGCCCGTCCTCCATCCTGCAGCCACCGCAGGAAGGTTCGCCATGGCTTGCTTCTCACCTTCCAGCAAAGTTCCATGACAGGGAACTTAAAGCCTGGATTAACCTTGAATGACCGTAAAAAGTCCGAATTGCAGGACTGGTTAAAGCAAGTTGAGGACTGGGTCGAAGCCCAAGAAGCTGACGATTTCCTCACCAAAATCCGTAGGACTGCGGTGATTTGGGGAATCCCCCCGGGAACCGTTACAAAGTTGCAGAAGCACCCCGTGGCAAAGCTCATAGCAGTCGGCTCCTACATGGAGCGGTGACTCATTGCTGCAACAAACCAACGAACCCGGCGCTGCGTGTTGAGGCACACGCAAGCCGCCACAAAAGCCTTTCGCTGCCTCATTGGCCCCGAGCTTTTGCATTTTTGTCTCTTACAGTTGGGGCGTAGCCCAGTGGTGCTGCGCGCGGATTGCCATACATGAAGCACATCGGACTCTACCAGACACCCATGTGCTGAGAGGCGTATTCCGTGCTCTGGGCGTTTTGCCAGGCTACCCCAGCTTCCAACAATTTTGCGCTGAGTCAGTTCTGTACATTCGCTTCTCTCCTGTCAAGAAGCATGCGAAACTTTTCTATGTCGGCAGCACGGAGAAATCCGTGATGGTTCGGGAACACACCAGGTACCGTAAGTACAAACAAGTACTCGAAGACAAACTTGTCTCTGCCGAGCTTTCAATTCGGTTTTGGGCACATCATCGCAACTTCTGGGATTGGTGTGTGATTCCTGTGTCACAAACCGTGGCAACTGACGTCCTTCGAGGGCGGGAACAGGCCCTTATTCAAGCTTTGCAACCACCACCCAACTTCCCTTTTATCGCTCGGTGGTTTTGCCCGCGTCGTGGCGTCATCAAACCACCTGATGCCACACAGGCCACAAAGATCGGTCTTTCGCGCCTCTGGCGAAAACATCGAAAGAAGCAACTCACCACTACAGGCCGTGGCCTACCCACCCCTCTGTACGCTATGTTCGAGAAACCTTCCTTCCGGACAAAAGAGGCCACATGGGTATTACTTACCCAATTGGGCAGCAACACCGTGGCTCATTTCGAAGCTGCCAAACGCCTCCGGGGAAACGAGTTCAGTTACCCAGCGCTTTGTGCCCTCTGTCGCATGGCCAAGCACCTACCAGCCTGCATGGCGCCCAATGCATTGCGTGCCATTACTTCCGCCTTCAAATTCAGAGGCTTCCTTCCTCCCAAGGGGCACAGACCGCTACGCGTGCCGTTCCTTTCCCATGAGACCTACCGACAGGACCTCAGAACATGCATGCGAGCCTACATTTCCGAAAGCACTCATGCGGTTACCCCCTTCCATGTACCGAAGACCACTGTAGTCTTCCCCCGTCACCCGCATGTTGCTCAAGTTTTGCACAACCATCAAGATGCACTGAGGCAGTGGGCGTTACGAAGGGAACCTACGTGCAAATGTGACGTCACTCAGAACTATGCACCTAAGGCCCCCATGTTCGGCGGTCATATTGCAGCCAAGGGCACGGAGTTTACCAACTCCCTCAGCACCCTTGAGCAGCAGATAGCCAGTGGATCAACCACTGACACCTTCTTCCCTGACAAAGAACAGCTTCGTACTCAGTTTGTTGAGGGCTGGTCCAATTGGTGTAGAACCAATGCGCTGCCGGGCCCCCCACGTGGCCTCAATGAAACCTTTCAACAGGTTTGGAACAAGCATCTGTCAGCGGGAAGCTGTCGACAGTCTTAAATCTAAGACGCGTGGGGCCGTCTGGCACACGGAGGATCATCATCCTCGCGCTGCAGTTTGTTTTTGCCCGACTTTGTATCACCGTATGCTTGAGGTAAGGGTACGTTTGGTAACCCACAAGTGTTTCAGGAAGTCCCTCGCATGTTTGAAGAACAACTCAAGAGGGTCCAGAAGGCGGCCAAACGGGACCTTCAGCGCCGATACCCTTGGGCCTTTCGACGCACGCCGCTCATCCCACAGGCGTATGCGCTACCCAAACGCAAGAAGGACTTTGCATCGGGTCGACCGATTGTCTCCTTTGTTGATGCATTTATGAGGCCTTTGCTAGAAGCTACCTCCAGGCTACTTCACAGAATTTCCACTCCGGCACCAGCGCACCGTTGCACTGCCGAAACCAAGACTTGGCTGGGTTCTTCAACTCCATCTCCCAGTCTCAATTTTTACAGGCCTGGTGCATCACACTAGAGTTCTACAGGCAAAGACACGGTGTCCAATCAGACACCACTTTTTCGGTCAACTTGAAAGCACATGCTCAGCAGTTACGTGTGTTTCGCGGAAAACGCCGCAACCGAGCTTCCCGGGAGGTCACCATATGGTGCCAAGATTTGCCAACCATCATTCGGCATGCCCTCACACTACAGCACTTCCAAGTTGCGGCACGGGGGTTTCGCCAGTGCTTTGGTTCTCCCATGGTGTCACCATTGTCGCCTGCTCTGTGCGGCATGGTCATCGCTGCCCAGGAAGAGATTTGGCGACGCACTTTTAGCATCACGTGCTCCAACATGAACCGAGCCTTGCTCAGCCTGCGATATGTCGACAATCGGATTTGGATCTCCGAAAGGAGATTTGAACAACTCCCTGGCATTCGACTATTACTCAACAATCACTTTTACGGAGGTGACATCACTCTGGAGGACGAACCCGCCTACGATTTCGTGGGCTTTTCCCTCGACTTTGAGCAACGTCGCATCATGTACAACCGTGCCTGTCAGACTTCAGACCTTCCCAGCACCAAATCTGCCGCCCCTGAACATGTGTTGCTCAGTGGCGTGCTTGCCAGGGCACACACCGTAAAGAAGTGCTCGTACCCTCGAGCACAAGCTCTCATGGACCTTAGGTACCTTTGGGAACTCGCCGAACAGCGAGGCTTTCCGATAAATTCTTTTGCCTTCAAGGCAAAATTTTGGAAGTTTGCTTGACCAGGGAATCGCGCAAAAAAAGAAAGGGCGATGTGCACTAGTATTGAACTCACTGTCGCAGACATGTGAATTACATCCCTTGCCGACAACTCTGTGTATCTACGCAGGATTTGTTCTCAGCCTCAGTTAGTCAACATGTCCTCTTCGGAGCCCACAGATGATTCTTATGTACCAATGAGCCCTGCTACACGCGGGCGGGAAATCACTCGGGCACTACTCGAGGTTCTTCGTGCAGACGCAAAGGCCAGTGACGAAGAAAATTCGGCGTCTCACGGCGCCTCCCTCTCCAGTGCCCTGCACGACGAAACATTTCGCAA